TTCAGTGTCTCGTTCTAGTGGGTGAAACCGGGTCTGGTAAAACAACGCAGTGCGCCCAATTTTTGATTGAAGCGGGATTAAATAAAGGAAAATGTGTGAGCTGTACTCAACCTAGACGAGTCGCCGCTATGAGTGTGGCACAACGAGTTGCAGATGAGATGGTAGGAGTTTGAAGTAGTTCGGTTTTAGATTTTTTTGTATTCAGGATGTGAGACTGGGCGAGCACGTCGGTTATACTATTCGTTTCGAGGATAAGTCTTCATCTTCGACTGTATTGAAATACATGACTGATGGAATGCTTTTGAGGGAAGCAATGAATGATCCATTAATGGATCGGTATTCCATTGTAATCCTCGATGAAGCGCACGAAAGAACTCTGGCGACTGACGTCTTGTTCGGTTTGTTGAAGGAAGTTATCAAAAATAGACCTGGTACGACTTTGAGCGATTTATTTTTGTTTTATTCTTTGCTGTTTTTAGATCTCAAATTGATTGTAATGTCGGCGACATTGGACGCTGGAAAGTTTCAAAGTTACTTCAATGGAGCCCCAATTCTGAACATTCCCGGAAGGCTGCATCCAGTCGAAATATTCTATTCTGCTCGTGAGTCGGAAAAACACGACGGAGGTCTTTATTGCTTTTTTTCAGAGCCAGAAAAGGATTATCTTGAAGCAGCGATTCGTACAGTGCTGCAAATTCACAGAACAGAAGAACAAGGAGACATCTTGCTGTTTCTAACGGGTGAAGAGGAAATCGAGCAAGCAAAAAAAATCCTTGGAGAGGGAAGCTCAACGTTTCAGTGACGCGGGGGAGTTGTTAGTTGTGCCGTTGTACTCGTCTCTCCCACCTCAAATGCAACAAAAAATTTTCGAAAGACCTCCGGGACCAAAATACGCTGGAGGACCGAGTGGTCGCAAAGTTGTTGTATCCACAAATATTGCTGAAACATCAATAACAATTGATGGAATCGTTTATGTGGTCGATCCTGGATTTTCGAAACAAAAAGTTTACAATCCAAGAGTCCGCTTGGAGTCTCTTCTTGTCTCGCCCATTTCAAAAGCGTCTGCCCATCAGAGAGCTGGACGGTATGTGGCATGCATGTCACGATTAAACCTCATCATCATTGCAGGGCCGGGCGAACTCAGCCAGGAAAGTGCTTCCGTCTCTATACAGAATCTGCATTTAAAGCGGAACTCGCTGAACAAACATATCCAGAAATTCTCCGTTCGAATCTTGGAAATGTTGTATTAACATTAAAAAAATTAGGAATTGATGACCTCGTCCATTTCGATTTTATGGACCCGCCTGCACCAGAGACTTTGATGCGTGCTCTAGAACAACTCAACTACTTGGACGCTCTGGTAGGTTCTCTTGCCGTCTGATTGATTCCATCTTCCTGCTTTAGGATGATGAGGGTGAATTAACATCCATTGGTGAACAAATGGCTGAATTTCCGCTTGACCCTCAACTCTCCAAGATGCTTGTTTGTTCACCACAATTCAAATGTTCTAATGAAATTTTAACAATTACAGTAAGTGGCGAGAAGTTGCCGATTGTTGAGGGGTGCTCGTGGAATCAGTTCCCTGGTGAGAACGTGGCTCCTGTAGTCTTTTTTTACTCCTGTCCAGGCGATGCTCAGCGTAGCTCAATGTTTCGTTCGGCCACGTGAAGCAGCAAAAGAAGCTGATGCAGCACGTGCTCGTTTCGCTCATTTGGATGGCGATCATTTAACCCTTCTGAATGCTTTCAATTCGTACAAGCATCACGCTGGTTGTGAAAAAAACTTCTGTTGGGAAAACTTCTTGAATCCGAGGGTGGGTGATGCAGCTTAATATGAGGTGCCTACTTTGTGTTATTTTTATTATTAGTCTCTTCAATCGGCCGACAATGTTAGACAACAACTTGCTCGCATTTTGGAGAGGTTAGGACTTCCGCTGGTGTCTGTGGACCATAATGATAAGAACTACTATCTTAATATTAGAAAGGCTCTTGTCGGGGGGTTCTTCATGCAAGTACGTCAGATTATGCTTGTTTGATTTTAAGAATTTATTAATTTCTGTTTTTCAGGTTGCTCATGTTGAGCGTAGTGGTATCTATTTAACAGTCAAAGACCATCAGCGGGTTGCTCTTCATCCATCAACAGTTTTGGATTTCAAGCCAGAATGGGTCATCTATAATGAGTTTGTTTTAACATCGCAAAATTACATCCGTACTTGCACGCAAGTTCAGGGGGAGTGGCTTTTGCAAATTGCGCCGAAGTTCTATGATTTGGACGAACTTCCCGAGGGCGATATGAAGCGCAAGCTTCTCCAGATTCGGAAGGAAAAATCGGCCAGATAAATATTTCCTTGTTCATGAGTCTAATGAACAGATCCGTTTTTTTCACTGCCTAGCTCTTAATTCAACACCGATTGATATATGATCTGAAGGGAAATTGATGGATGGAAGACCTCCATGCTCTCGTCCCATTTCTGTGGTAATTGGACTGAGATGACGAATCACCTGAAAGCATGGAAATATGAATGACTATCATGAAAGATATATCACCTCAAAAGTTGATCCATTTATGAAAATATGATCAAGTGCAGCTTCGAATCCATTGACAATATTTGTGAAAGGTAACGGTTTCGTTGAATAAACATCATGAAGGGATCCAACACTCTTCGGTGATTCTAATTGAAATCCAAAATGTTCGAATGATTCATTGTTAACTGGAATATCATTGGATAAGGTTTGAGTTGTAGGGATCAGAGAAGCTTTAGCTATTGCCTCTGCCTCCTCATTATCCTCCACCAAATCCCAGCTGAATTGCGGCCCCTGATAATACTTCATTGATTTTTTTAATGCATGGAATTTCTTACCAGAAGTCCAAAGGTTTGAATCTTCGGGTAACACTCCAGAAGTCAGCAGGGAATACGCACCGGACTGATGAGTGGAATTGAAATCTCCAAGAACGATCAGATCGATGGGTCGCTTGGTTTTTGACGAATAGATATCACGAAGAACTGCAATGCGATGGAGGAGCGCGTAGACTTGAAATATACGAATGTTCTGAAGGAATAGATCATGAAATTCAATAGATTGGGACACACCGAGGCATCTGGATGATAGAATAGATGAGTGTTTGAGAAGACAAAGAGTTGACCGGTGGCAACAACTTCAAAGATGCTCAACTGAAAAATGGTTGTCAACCGAGGAAGCACGTCGGAAATGAATGTCGGCCATTTCAGTGCGATTTGGTCGCGTAGAACAGACAAACGAGGATCCTCCATCTGAGATCAAAATATCGACTCAAAAGAAGAGAATGGCGTTTCGTACAAATGCTGTTTTGAACTCAAAATCATGACATTCAATTTCTCTCAATTTTTGACGATCATAGAACACTGCGCACCCTTCCTTCACTTTAGAAATTTTTAACTGAAGAAGAAAAAAATGCAACCGAGATGCGAAATTCTTCTTACTGTCAGACGAGACTCATATCGAGTGCCTAGAAGTTGCTTTAATGTCTGTTCATAGAATCGAGCAGAGCTGCAACAAAACCAGCAATCCATCGAAATAGATTAAATAAATACCATTCTTGAAGGCCCAAGAGATCGCAATCCAAATCGAGAAGTTCAGCGGCAATTCTGGGACTTCGGAATCCAATCGCTAAAGCACTTTCAGGGCAATAGGGGGAACATGATTTCCCGAGCGACTGGAGTTCTCGCATACTCATCAGCTAAGATATTAAAAGACGCAACACGCAGAATTTGAGAATCTTCTCTTCTCTTAAATTCATCAAGTCGGCGACTCTTCCATGAATCCCCAGGCGCTGGTTCAACTTCTTCGGAATAAGCCTGTGCGGCGAGGCACGGAAAACTTCGATGAAAACCTAAAACGCTAATTTGCAAGAGAAAAACAAACATTTTCTGACCTCTGACAAGCAGTTGAGCGCCTTCATCGACGGGGCGAGGAACGAACCATTTTCCGACGTGAACCAGATATTGATCGAGATGACCAGATTGAGAAGGACAGTGAAGAGGCTTCAACGTTCCGTCATCCGTTTTTGGGACAGGTGAGTACCACTCAACAACAAAGTCATCTGCGTACTTAGGATTTTGTTCGTATGATGCAAACACATGGAAGTCCAACAACAGCTTCTCCATAAATCCCAAGTCGTTCCATTTTTGGAGGATTGCGTACGATAAGAAGACTAGTTTGAAGAATTGCTAGACGTTCAGCAGTTGAAAACGCTTCACCACAAGTTGTTGTTTCCGGACAAACAACGCTTCCTCCTTCCTTGTATAAAACCAGATTTTCAGGGCCGTCTATCGTTGGGAGTGTTTCACTTGGCGCGGCAATTTCAACAAAACGTAATCGTTCTTTAGTCGTTGAAGTTTTATTTGCGGGATCTTCGCTTTCTGTTGATGGAGCAACTTCCTGCTTCCTCTTTTTAGCTTGTGGTGACTTGGATGGTTTTGGTCCCTTTTTATTTTTCGTACCAGACTTTTCTTTTACTTGCAAATTTTTTAAACCGAGTGCCAACCGCTTCAATACTGTCAGCAGCGGTTCGTCTTTGTCCCTTTCCATGTTGACCTTCAGCCCCCCCCACACAACAGACAATTGGACCTTCTGCGCTTTCTCAGAATTGGGGTCCATTTCAACAGTCACCAATCGGTTGCATTCATGATCAAGAGATTGAGCGTTCATAGAAAGCATGAAATGGTTTCCGACGAGTCGTTTTTCTGAAATTGTGGCAATGAATGAAGTAAAATGATGAAACTGTTTTTTGAAACGTTTGAAACAGAGAGATCCGAGAATTGTTCCAAATTTCGAAATCACCATTAAAATCAATTGATTTCTTGATCACGCCATTGATACGCTCGGAATACGCTCACTCAGATGTTCGAAGAGCCAGTCGTCTTAGACAAAATCGTGTCCCATTTTATTTCAACGTTTCTTTTGAACTGTACCTACAGGTGCGATCAGGTTGTTCTACTATCCATAACTCAGAATTTCAATATGGATGTTATTGAGCTTGAAGCTCAGACGGGATTACGTTTTTCGTGGAATGTTTTTTCCGCCAACCCGGGCTGAAGCGACCAAAATTGAGCTTCCTCTTGGAGGACTGTACACCCCCTTGAAGGCAAGTCAACATTTCAACTATTTGATCACTGTTTTCGTCAGGATTGTAATAACGCCCCAATTAGAGTATGAACCTTTAAGATGTCGTCAATCTGGTTGCGTACTCAATCCGTATTGCCAAATTGATAAAAGGTACTCTATCAATTCACATACTCATCATCTACAGTATTCATAATAAAACATCATGCAAGTCTTCCCCCCGTTTTTTATAGAAACAAAACATGGATTTGTCCATTTTCGGGAATCCGAAATCCGTTTCCCCCTAAATACGCAGAACACATTGCGGACGAGCGTCTTCCCCCCGAGCTGGTTTTTCCAACTGTTGACTACATTCTCCCTGCTCATTCTGGCGGAATCGTTCCAGCTCCTTCGTTTTTGTTCGTTGTTGATACGTGTTTGTTCGAAGAGGAGCTCGATACCTTGAAGGATTCGTTACAACAAGTACAACCATCCGTCCATTCATTTGATTTGATTTTTGTCTGTCAGGTTCTCAATTTCGTCCCACAAGATTCAAATATTGGATTGATTACTTATGGGGCGATGTGCCACGTTCATGAATTGGGTAAGATCACACAGTCGATTGCAATTCTATCAGAATTTCAGGATTCCTGGATTGTCCCCAAATCGTACGTGTTTAGAGGGAGCAAGCCAGCTGGACACCAGGAAGTTCAACAGCAGCTCGGGTTAATCTCTCGAGATCCGCGCGGAGGAGCAGGAGGAGCAGCTGCGCGACGTTTTTTGCTCCCGATTTCGGAGTGTGAATTTGCGTTTAATGCAATTCTAGACGATCTTCAGAAGGATCAATGGCCTGTCCCAACAGATCATCGAGCTGAACGGTGCACTGGTGTCGCTCTCAGTGTTGCTCTTGCTCTTCTGGAGAGCTGCGCGACGCAACAGAGTGGACGTGTGTTGCTTTTTACGGGTAATTCATCGGAATGGGACAAAACTTATCCGTTCCATGTGTAGGTGGTGTCTGTACAAGCGGTCCTGGTCAAATTGTTGGGACATCCTTGAATGAAGTAATTCGTCATCATCTCGATCTTCAAAAGGAAACTGAAAACGCAAAATATGTAAAAAAAGCGCTTCGGTATTACACTGAATTGGCTGATCGAGCAGTCGCAGCTGGTCACGCTGTTGACATTTTTGCGTGTTCTCTTGACCAAGTTGGATTGTATGAGATGCGAGTAAGAGAAGTTGTCCATTCTCTTTCATTGATTGGGACATTCAGGTCTGTAGCGACAAAACTGGTGGATTCGTCGTCATGAGCGACTCATTCAGCATGAATGTTTTCAAAGATTCATTTCGTAAAATATTCGAAGCAGATTCAACTGGATATTTGCAGCATGCCTATAACGCTAAATTGGAAGTTCTCTGCTCCAGGGAGCTCAAGGTCATTTTCCTCGTGATCTCTTGTTCACATCACTTGTTCATTCTTAGGTTTGCGGAGCGATTGGGAGTTGCACGTCGACCGGAAAGAAGGGTCTTCAAGTCGGCGAGACGTGCGTTGGAGAAGGAGGAACATGCGAATGGGTGATTCCTGCTCTTGATAAGAGAACAACTCTCGCATTCTATTTTGAAGTTGTAACGCAAAATCAATCACAAGTTCCTCCATCGCGTCAAGCCTTTCTTCAATTTCAAACACTTTATCACCATCCAAGTGGAAGACGACGTCTCAGAGTGTCAACGGTGTCCCATCGATTCGGAGAACCCGGATCGCACGATCTTGTATCAGGATTCGATCAAGAAGCCGCTGCAGTTCTCATGGCGCGTTTGGCTGTTTTCAAAACAGAACAAGAGGATTGTTTAGATGTCTTGAGGTCTGAAAGAATCAGTTGTTATGTCGAGTGATCCCTTATTTTCAGATGGTTGGATCGCAAATTGATTCGGCTGGTTAGCCGTTTCGCCGATTATCAAAAAGATGATCCAGCGACGTTCCATTTGGGACAAGAGTTTTCGATTTATCCCCAATTTATGTATCATCTACGTCGTTCTCACTTTCTCCAGACCTTTAACGCGAGGTGAGAATAAATGAGAATAAGATATTTTGAGAATAAGATATTTTGAGAATAAGATATCTTGAGAATAAGATATCTTGAGAATAAGATATTCATGTATTTCTATGGATTCCTCTTTGATTGATTCTTTCAGTCCTGACGAGACTGCGTATTACCGCACAGTTCTCTTGCGTGAAAATGTTCTCAATTCTCTCGTCATGATCCAGCCCGCTCTATTTCAATACACTTTTGACGGTAATCGATTCAGATGGAGTCACTCTTATTGAATGTTTCATAGGCCCACCTAAAGCCGTTATGCTGGACGTTCAATCCCTTCGTCCTGAAGTCATACTACTTCTAGACTCCTTCTTCCATGTCGTTGTCTGGCACGGAGACACTATCCATTCTTGGAAGGAACAGGGATACGATCAATCTCCCGAATTTCAGAACTTCAAAGAATTACTCGAGGTGAGGATTTTCATGATGATTAATTAACAGTCTGGAATTTTAGGCCCCGCAAAAAGACGCGAAGGCCCTGCTAGAGGACCGATTCCCGGCACCAAAATTCGTGGTTTGCAACGCTGGCGGAAGTCAAGCGCGCTTCCTTCTAGCGAAGGTGAATCCGTCAGCCACCCACAACACCATGGCAGAAATGAACGATGGGGGGTATGGAGGACAACCGGTTGATGCGTCAAATTACGTTATAACGGGTAGGTTGGGATCCTTGTGAGTGGGATAGAGCCTCGTGTTTTGTGTCAGATGATGTGTCCTTAAAAGTGTTTATGGAGCATTTGATCAAACTAGCTGTACAGTCTTGAGCGTTTAATGACATCAGCAGTAGTGCTTTTCTTTAAACCAGATGAACCATTTTTGTGTCTGTCGGACATTTCACATGTAGTGGGTAAAAGGTACCCGCCTTTTCTTAACTTTTTGCTTTTTAATTTTAGTTAGATGAAATTCAATGCCACATCACCTCTAGCGCGGGGGTTGGGAATCACCGCTTGCTTGATGATTTTTATACCATTGAGCTTCAGCGTTGCCATGAAACGCCTCCTTTTAGATGTTTCCGATTATTCCGAATTGCCTTCGTGGAAAACCTCATCAAAATTGAAACTGGGAAATGACATCAAAATGCCGTCGGGAGGTCTTCGACGATTAAAATCACAAAATGCAACAGATGTGGCCCCTAGAAGATCCTTACAAGGAGCCAAGACAATTTATGGGTCTTATGGCGGTGGTGCCATTTTTTGGCTCGCTGGACTATCGAACTTCGACTACCCGTTTGCTTGCAGATGTGATGAATCCGCTCTTCAAAGTTTTCAGCCTGGCAACGCGACTGAACCCCAAAGAAGTACAGTGAAGTGTGCTGGTGCTGCGAGTGGTGGCATCTTCGCTAAAGATGCGGTGTGCGACGCCACCAATAGCGCGAGACATTTTTCTTCTTTGCTCTCTTTTGCTTCAATCCTTTATTTGTTTTTTTCTGCTTATTGATGGCATTCGTACGAAAAAATGAAATTTAAAAAAATCTTAATCAATGGGTGTTGTGCGATAAACATGTTCCTCCACATTCAGTTCAACATGTCTCGCAATGCCTTTGGTTGTTGTGGCTTTTCCTTTCATCTTGCAGTCGAAGCAAGCTAAATCGGGATCTGAACAGATTGGCTCCTTCGTCCAGCGTTCTTTCTCCGGGGAAGCAAACCGCGAATCATTTGCCGGGGGTTGAGATTCATTTTCCTGCATTGCAACCATAAGCGCCGCTATTCCAGCACTGAGGCTTCTTCGACTACAGCGACAAGCTTGAGCGACACGAGCTGGGGTCAACGCACGATCTTTAATCTCTTCAGGCAACTTAACAGTTTCCAGTGGCACTTCATAGAAATGTGAAAGCATCGTGGTTATCATTTCTCTTGAGCATCGCCTAAACTCCATTCTAAGATCAATTCGTCCTGGCCGCACTAGAGCCGGATCAAGCGATTCCACAAAATTCGTGGTCATAACAATGATTCGTCCAGTCATCTCTGCCATCAAACTATTACAAATAGCAGCAACTCAGCAACCCTTACCAACCACTCCGTCTAACATATTCAACAAATAACTCAAATTCTGCGTGCCTCGCTTCTGCGGTAACAACGATTTCAGCAACTCTTCTTCCGTCTTTTCAAATTCATTTTTCTTTTCCGATTTCTCATCCCGCTTAACGTCTTCGAATTTTTTTTTCGGCATCATCAATGAAAGAGCAGCAGCGGCAGACACATTTGTTCTTTCATCTTTCTGTTCTCCACTTCTTTTTTTTACAAGGTCTCCCATGGCATCAATGTCCTCCAATACATAAATGCGCTTATCTTGAGGCAAACGGACACCCCGCGACGAGATCAAAATTCATGATTTTGTCTAGTGTTTGCAAATTCGTAAATCCATTGATCGAAACGACAACCGCGTGGCGTCCAGTATGTTGAAGAAGCGCTTTAATAAACGACGTTTTGCCACATCCGGGCTCTCCATGACAAAGAATTCCTACACCCAATTGTTATCAGTGATGCTTCTCAGTCGTACCTACCTAGAGTGTATGGAAGGCCTCGTTCTGAATACCACGCCTCGTTATTGAGAAAGAAGTCAATTTCTTCCAATGCTTGCCGTTTAAATTCAAAGTGGTAATTTGAGAAATTTTTAAATGAATGAAACGGACAAATTTGCGTGTGTTCTGTTCCGCCCTTCTCGAAGCGGATTTGAAAAATCATTTGTTGTCCCAACAATCGCAGCTTTTCAGCTTCTTCCAATTCTCGCCCCCCACGTCATCAAAATGTCAAGCAATTGTTTTGCGGAATACTTTTCAGAGAAGACGATAATGTTGCGTGACACGATGCGCTCCTCGTCCCTAACACGCAAGTCAATAACAACATATTCATCAATCGCACTCACTCCTTAGATTCGAGCGTTCGCTCAGATTCCTCCATCTTGACAAAAATGTCATCAACTAGTTCGAACGGCTCCTCTTGCGTCACTTCATAAAAAACTCCTCGAAAGCCATCAAACTTTGTTTCGAACTCGCCTGTGTTCTTGTTGAATGTCAATTGCTCGAAGGTTTTTGAAATATCGCACTCTCTGAGAATCAAAGAGATGAAGACAGAACAGACGCGCCAATACGAACCTCAAACGCTTAACGCGATCGTCCTCCAAAGCGTGGACCTTCTGAAGAACGGCCTGAAGCTGAAACGATGGAGCGTCATATCGCTGGGTTTTTGACTGATTGAAGCTATAGAGATCTTCAAATGGAAAAATCGACTTGGCCTCGGTGTTTG